ACCGGGGCTGTCACACTGCTGTGTCCTATTGCGTGATTCCCTTCGAGGTGACAGCAGGGACCGCAGAGCCGTCCCTGGGCAGGAGCAGAGGCTTTGCAGATGCTGCTTCTCCCTGGTTTGGAAAACACAGAGCCGGACTGGCAGCGTGGGGAGTGAATTCCCTGTTGAGTGGCGGCTCCTGCTTGCTGTCCTCGGCCCTCCCTGAGCACCCAAGTCAGTTGTCACCTCTGCACCGGATCGCCAGCCGGCATGGAGGGTGGTGTGGGGATGCTGTGAAGGTGCTGCTGGTTGCCTGCGGCCGGGCTGAGGTGAAGCAGCTTTCCCAGCGCTGGTACACACACGCACACGTGACACAAGAGGCATGTAGCCTGGTTCGTCAGCTGGAGCCGTGTCCGTGGGGTGAGATGCGTTCAGCTCCAGCGTGTCCCCTCCAGTGCATCCCCCCTCCTGCCCGGCTCTTTCACAACCCAGGCTTGGCTGACTCGTCCAGCGGGGGCTGAATTTCAGCCCTGGGGACCAGGGGGAGCTGAGGTGGAGAGAGCCCACAGGTTAAAAACTCCGGCTGCGGGCGCGTCCACCCACCCGCCTTCGCCACCTTGGCCAAGCGGTGTTTTCTGGCAGCTCTCTCCTCCCGGGGCGCTTTTGGCAAACCCCGAGCGGGCTGAGCACGTGGGGCCCGTTTCCCTCCCGCTTCCCCCGGCGTGACCTCCGGCCTCCAGACGTTTGGTGTGCGGTTTGTGCGGTCGCTGGTATCTCATCTCCCCATCAGTCACATCCCCTCTCGGTGGTGAGTCACCCGGCTGTACCTCTTCCCCCCTGCCCCATGCCGTTTTGGAGAGCTGAGCGAAGAAGATGTTTTCAACTGGGCTAACACATCTGCACCCGCCAAGTTCCTCTAATAACAGCCCTTAGTGATTTATGTCTCCATTGTGCAAAGCAGGTACGTTTTACCAGCTCGTTTTGGAGCTGGGAAGGAGGGGCCGGGTCTGCGTCCCCGCTCCGTGCCCCTCCACTGCACCCACTGGAGCATCGCAGGGGGAGCCGAGTGGGGACCTGCATTTTGGCTCCCAGCTGTCACCTTCCTGCAGGGTTAAGGTGTCTTAAGGGACAATATTTGTGCCCCTTAAGCCCTTTTACCCTCTGAGCCGACCGTGCTTTGGATCACCAGCAGAGTGCCCGCATGGGATTCGTGTTGGTGGTGCCTTTCCCAGGCGGCCAGAGGCCGTGCTGATGGGCACGCGTGTTTGGCATGGCGTGGCAGGGAGACACAGCCGGTCTGGTGCTGGCAGAGCTGCCGATTCGCACCTCCCTGCCCTCGCCGTGCTGCCAGCCCGCCTCTGGGCCAGCAGTCGGCCGGAGGAGCGTGGCTCAGCCTGCCCGGACCTGTCGGCGTGTCCCTGGGCGAAGCCGTTCTTGCGCTGGTTCAGCAAACACTCTGGCCCCAGGCAGATGGAGATGGTTGTGGTTTCCCCCTTTCCCCTCCCTTTCTCCTGGCAGAAACCCATGGTTGGGGTGAGCTGTGCGTTGCTCACTGCGGTAGAGTTTCTCCCTTTGGCATCGCTTTCTGGCACGGAGATCCAAGGAGGGAGCGACTTGCCCGCGGCCGCCTCCTGCAGATGCAGCTACTTAGTGGATGAAGGAGCAGCATCACCTCCAGGTCCTGCAGGCAGGTTTCGGGGCTGTGTGCGAGTCTTACGCTGGCCCGTCAGCGTTGCTGCTGGAGGGCGGGCTGTGTGGAGGAAGGGATGCTCTGGCAGTGCCTCGGGGTTGGATTTGCATCGGGTTCATCCCCAGGAAGGCTGTTGCTCGAATTCCTCATCCCTGCCCCCGGCTCTGGTTCCTGGCAGGGAACGGGACAGGTAAATACAGCCCAGGCCACTTCTCCCTCCGGGCATTTAGGAAGGGAAAACAGCGTTGCTGGTAAACTGGAGGTTGGGATTCAGGTAGCTGTCTGGTTTTGCTGCTGGGTGATGCAGGCAGGTCCTTGCACCTGCCCATGCCTCAGTTTCCCCACCTGCAAAGCTTTGAGATGGACTTCGAGCCCCCACACTGGGATTACACCTCTCCCAGGAGCAGCGCCGCTGCCACAGCTTGCTTGAGGCACTGGGAAGGGCTGCCCAGTGCGAGGTGGCTTTGGGGTTTGGCTGGTGGCATCAGCTTGGTTCTGCTGCTGCTTCCCAGCTGGGGTGGTGACACTACCCTGCGGGGTCTCCAACCTGCTCTGCCACCGCTCTGCTCCCGGCTCCGGCACAGCGGCTGGAAAACCTCTGTGGTAGTTGGAGTGGGTCCGGAGGAGGGCCATGAAGATGATGCGAGGGCTAGAGCCCCTCTGCTGTGAGGACAGGCTGAGAGAGCTGGGGTTGTTCAGCCTGGAGAAGAGGAGGCTCCAGGGGGACCTTATTGTGGCCTTCCAGTACCTAAAGGGGCTCCAGGAAAGATGGGAACAAACTTTTTATCAGGGACGATTGTGATAGGACAAAGGGTAATGGTTTTAAACTAAAAGAGGGGAGATTTTAGACTAGATAACAAGGAATATTTTTTTTTGACAGTGAGGGTGGTGAAACCCTGGCCCAGGTTGCCCAGAGAGGTGGTAGATGCCCCATCCCTGGAAACACTCCTGGTTAGGTGGGATGGAGCTCTGAGCAACATGCTGTAGTTGAAGATGTCCCTGCGCATGGCAGGAGGGGTTGGACCAGGTGGCCTTCAAAGGTCCCTTCCAACCCAAACCATTCTATGATTGTATGACATCTTGTCTGATGTGGGGCAGCTGGAGGGGATTTTATCTGCCCTTTAGCTGCTGTCATCCCACAGTCCCTTATCCCCTCGTTCTTTCGGCTGACTTTCCCACTCTTCCTCTTCCGGCAGCGCCGGGCTGCGGCTGGATCCCAGCGGTGGGATGTGATAATGCTGATTGCAGAGGAAACCCCATAGCATTCGGGGCTGGGACCAACCCTGTGTTATCCCTGGGCAGGATAAGATGCCGCAGGCGGGGACCTGCCCCAGTAGGACCAGCAGCGTAACTGGTGCCAAAATGCCTGCTTGGATACCAGTAGCTTAAGCGTGTGCAGGTGTCCCTGTGCTGGATGACAGGGCTGGATCGTGTCCCCTTCCTGGAGCTCTGCAGGTGGCTTTGTGTCCTCGCACCATGTGCAAACAGGGAAGTGCCCATGTGTCTCGCCGCAATCTCCACGCCGGTGCTGTCGCTTGCCGGAGCAGCTGCAGCTGGGATGGAGGTCTGGCTGGGAAAAGGGGCTTATGTGGGGATGGCCAGCGCTGGGGCTGCCGGGCTGGTGTGGCATGGGGTGCTCCAGGGAGTTTGCCGTGCTGCAACCATGTGCTGTGCCAGATGGGACCAGCGTTCCCTCGGAAATGTGTCGCTCCTGCTCCAGATGTTGGCTCATCGCCAGCCCAGCCGTGCCGGAGCGGCGCGGTGGAGGTGGCACGGCTGAGGGAGAACACGCGGTGGAACGGAGCTGCTCACGGCGAAGCCGGGGTAGATGGCCCTGAGTGCTACCCAGCGCTCTCCAGCCCTGCGATAAGAAAGTGTGTTTGGAAATGCTCCAGTATGAAGGTTTTGGGGTCACTAAGGAGAGGTGTGAGTGTGTGTGCTGTCTTTACGGCACCCTGCATGAAATTAAATGGCAAGTTTGACCTGCTGGGAACGGGCTCGGCGTTGAACTTCACGGGCACAGCGGCTCCCGTGGTCCTGCGGCTGGAGGGTTGGCGTGGGGGGGTGATGCCGCCAGGAGCTGTCGGGTGATGGATCTGGGCAAGGAGCTGCGCGGAGCCCCGCGTCGGTGAAGCACATGTGCCGGGATGCAAACATGTACGTGAAAGAGATCCCGGCTGTCTAAATAATGTGAAATATTGACTAGCTCTCGCAGATGGTGCTCCACGTGCAGCTTCGGGGACTGAACTTCTGTCTCCTGTTGGGTTTCGGTGTGATGTTGTTTTGATCCAGTTGGATGCTGGACTCTTGACAGACTCGTTGCCTGGTTGCTTTCAGTGGCGTAGTTGAATATTGGGGACGTTGGATGCTAATGGGGTCTGAGGGGAAGGGGGGAGGGTTGCAGAGGGCTTGACTGGCTCCTTCAGACTCTCTCCTGATGGCTTTTCATCGGTTTTTAAATGATGGCACCAACTGGGTAGCTGGTTCTCGCGCTGTTGGGGTTTGTAGTATTGCACGGGTGCCGTTTGGTGGCAGTGTTGCAGAGAAATTGCTGCCTGTAGCCACCAGCTTGTGTCATTACCGTTATTACGGTGGTTGTATTCACTGATGAAATGCTGATGATGATTATTTGTATGAGGATGTTGCGGGAGACCCCACTCTTGGAGGAGGCCCTGGTGTCCAGGACATAATCCAGACCGCTGGCAGCTGGGCCTTGGGGACCCACTGCCTTTGTATCAGCTCTTGGGGAGGCAACAGGTTTTTTCTCCTCTGTTTTTCCTTCCTTGGGGAGAAGGTGCCGGTTTTGGGTACGTGAAACGATGCTTTGTGTGAGCTGCTGTGGAGGATGCTCTCGCTTTTTCCACAAAGCCCATACCTGGTGCTGGGCACCTGCCGTGGGGATGGGCTGTGTTGGCAAAGCTGTGCTGGCGAGAGGGTCTTACTGCTTCTGGGGACGCGCGTGGGGGAGTGCCCTCACCCACGGGTCGCTGTACTTGTGATAAACCAGTTTATCAGCCGGGTGGCTCGGTCGTTTCGCCTGCAGGTTTAAGGCTCTGCTCAGAAAGAAGCACGTTCCGTTTGCAGGCCACCGTTCGCAAAGTTAGTCCCGCAGAGGTGCAAGGGGCGAGCTGGGGGACCAGCAGCGGGCAACCTAAAACGGGGACCCCCACGGCGCACTGCGTGCGTCGCCACGCGCGTCCTTGCTGCTGCCGCTCCTGGCGCGCGAGGGACCGACAGCCACAACAGTCTGTGCTCCTGCGGGGCTCGTTCCAAGGCGGCGTGCTGCTTGGGCTGAAACATGTTTCCCTCTTCTGTTTCCCATTTTCTGCAGGCTTTTCCCATCTGCCTAACGGGCTCTACCCGTCGTACATTCCCCTGAGCCACCTCGAGCCCCCCAGCGCTGGCAGTCCTCTCCTGGCCCAGCTGGGTCAGCACAGCCTCTTCGAGTCGCAGAAAGGTGAGTCTGGGTCCCCTCGGTCACCTCTGGGTGCTCGCCCTGTCCTTGGGGCTTGCTTGGCTGCTGGGATGGTGGGGGTGAAGAGCAGGAACCTCCTGGGCTCGTCATCTTGGGATGTCTCCTGGGCTCAGCAGTACCAAGGTCTTGGATGTGGCTGTGCTGTAGGGACCTGGCCAGGTCCCTCCTTGAAGGCCCCGCGTGCTGCCACATCGCAAGGCTTAGCATGCACCAGAGACAGGGCTGTCCTGTGTCCCCAACTGGGCCATATGGAGATGCGTGCCAGGTCTCCTCTGCCCTGGTCCGTTCTGGGTGTGTCTGAGACATCCTTGAAACCTCTTCCCTCCCAGTTTGCCACCTCTCGCCTGTCTCTGCGTAGGTTGGTGGCCTGTGGTAATCCTGTTTGCTTTTGCTCTGCAGATGGGTTCTACCTGTCCAGCCATGCAGGCCAGTCCGCTTTGCACCCGCAGCCTCCCCTCTCGAGGACCGCGGGCAACCACACGTCGAGCACTTTGCTCCGGGAAAAGGACCTCGGGCAACTGCACAAGAGCTCGAAAGAAGGCCTGAAAGATCCCGGTGGGAAGGAGCGGGCATGCCGGAGCGATCTGTCCCTGCCCTTTGCCAAGAAGGAAGGCAAGCCAAAGGAGGAGCCCCGGCCCCGCAGCGTGGTAGACCTCACGCAGGACACCAAGCCCGACAGCGACCGGAAAGTGAGCGTGGTGGAGAAGGCAGTGAAGGTCGGCGAGCGTCTGTCTCCGTTCCTGGCTGAGCACATGCCAAATCGGGGTGCGGGCGGTGGGGAACCCAAGTCCAAGAATCCGTTGCAGAGCTCATCCCTCAGCAACTGCAACGGCGGCGGGGACCCCATGCTGAAGGTCCTGGGTGCCGAGCAGGATCGCTGTGCCAAGGATCCCGCTCGGCACGACGAGAACATGAGGCCTTCCGCGCACGCCCACGCCGAGCGGCTGAAGCGGGGGGAGCCCCTCCTGCCCTCCGTGGGTGCTTTGCACGTCTCCTGCAGCTGCCCGGCCCCTCACCCCTCGCAGCCGGGGAAGATGACGCCGGCCACGACATTCCCTCCGCAGCCCGTCCATTCCAGCATGTACACCATCTTCCCGCCGGCCAAGGAGCTGGGGAGGGAGCACAAAGTCATCGCCCCCACCTTCGTGCCTTCGGTCGAAGCCTACGACGAGAGGAGCGGGCCCATCCAAATCGCCTCGCAGGCCCGTGACAACAAGGTGAAGGACAAGGACCTCGGCAAGGTGGGGGTGCTGCAGTCGCCCACGGAGCGGTGCCTCGCGGACGCCTCCCGCACGCTCTTGTCCCAGGACTTTTCTTGCCACAGCGATGCCAAAAGGATGGAGGCTCTGCGGGAGAAGGGCTCGGTGATCAGGGCAAACTCCATGGCGCTCAAGAGACAGGTCACATCGGAGCCCTTCCTCAACCGGCCGGGGCTGGGCTCTCCGGAGAGCAGGGAGTTCCTGGCCTCCAAGGACTTGCTGAAGCCAAGTCCGGAGGCAGAGCATCGCTCCTGCGAGCGGGATCGCTTTCAGCGATCCAGCTCCAAAGAAGCGGCAAAAGTCTACGGCACTTTGGACTCTTCCCGGCAGCATCTGGACCACGGTCAGCTGAAACCGCCCGAGCAGAAGTGGAAGCCCTTTGAGATGGGTAACTTTGCCACCACGCAGATGGCGGTGCTGGCCGCGCAGCACAACCACGTCACCCGGGCGGAGGAGGAAGCCAAGAAGGTCTACCTTGACCCCAGCGGCTTGCCACGGTCCTCGGTGGTGGGCTCACGGGGAGCCACGGATGTTCTTCACCCTGCGTCCCACGGCGAAGGCTCGGCCATGCAGAGCCTCATCAAGTACAGCGGCAGGTTTGCCAAGGAGAACGCATCCCGGCAGAGCTGCGGCAAGAAGAGCCCCTTTGGCGGTTTGGGCAACATGAAGTTGGACTCTTCGCAGCTGGGCGCCTCCAAGGTGCAGCAGCTGCTGTCGCAGCAGCCGGCGAAGCAGCTGAAGAGGGACCCTGAGAGACCCGAGAGTGCCAAATCCTTTGGCCGCGAGAGCATCGGCTCCCAGGGCGAGGTGGAGGTGAGGCACTTGCCCGTCGGCATCGCCGTGGCTGTGGCCCGGCAGAAGGACAACAGCAGCAGCAGCAGCAGCAGCAGCAAACTGGGGCCCAGCTTGGCGGACCGGGATCGCTCGCTGTCTCTCAGCAGTATCAAAGGTAGGTTCCCCAGACCTGTCTGGGGACTTCCCTGTGGGATCTGTTCCCTGGGGAGAGCAGCCACCTAGTGCAGACTGTGTGGCATGAACCGAATTTGGTGTCCTCAGCTCCCTTTGCCTCCCCTTCCCAGCCAAGGGCACGTCATAAACCGCAGCAGGGAGTGAGACTCCCCATGCAGGAGGGTGTCCCCTTTCCCATCTTCCATCCCCTCTGTCCACCTCCGAGGACAACCCCTCTCCACGTCTTTGATCCCCGTTAGCAAAGAGATTGACAGAGAAACCCCTTAATCCACCTTTGTGCTGGTGTTTTAAGCTCATGGTTTTGCTTTAAGCCATGGTGCTGGCAGGAGGGGGATGGCTCCGGCGAGCTTTTTGGTGCTCTGCTTGGCGTGTGTAGCAAGATAACTCCTGGGGACTGCCCAGCACGGGGAGAGCTCGGCTCTGCCGTGCCAAGGAGCGATGCCAAAGCGAGCGGCCGGCGAGTAACGGTTGGCTTTCCATCTTTAGCATTCGCCTTGCCCGTTTTTCTGCCTTTATCCTCCCTCTCCCCAAGCTCGGCGGTGAGAGGCGGTTTCTCCCGGCCGGCAGCCCCTCTCCCCGTTCCCATCGCCTCCCGTCGCCCTCCCCACGGCCGGGCGGGAGCCGACCGAGGACCTCGTGGGCAGCACAGGGAGCTGTTTGTTCAGCCGTTCAATCATCCCAGACCCTCCCAGCTTGCGTTAAATGTAATTTACTGAGCCGAACTAAAAGGCTGCAAACAAGGGTTGAATTCTGGCAGGCCTCTGGGCTCGTTGCTAAGTGATGCAGTTGGCTTTCAGACAGAAAACAAGACTGCTTTTCTCCTCCTCTCGCCCCCCAAATGCTGCCCCCGCTTTGTGTGCCAGGAGATATTCGTCTAATAACATTAGCTTGCTTGCGCTGAGTGGACGGTGCTTGAATGTTTAGACCTTTTAAGAAGGAGAAAGCAGGCTTTAGTTGGCTAATCTGTAGTATTTGGCAAGTAAAATGCAAGTATTTAGTGCGGGGCATTGGTTGTCAAGGAGACGGACCTAAGCCTTTCCTCTGTGCATAACTGATTGAATTTTTCTATGCGGTCCGTGCGTCATGTTCATATATATAGACAAAATGATCATTCACTGTCCGGACAATCATCGGTCTGTACAGAAAAGGGATGTCCTGTCGGCGGGGTGGGGGCTCGGCGGGAATTAGACAAATAAGAAAGCGGGTGTGTTTGGATGGGGGATGAGCAAAAGATGATAAGCCTGTCTATAAATAACGAAGCGCAAGTAATATAGATGGGAGAGGGAGGGGCGGAGGTGAAATAACAAAATAATGTGTTTCTAATAAAAGGCTGGGAGGAGGAGGAGGTGGGGGGCAACTCACCTTGTGCCAAGGAGGGGAGGGAGGCTGCAGGTTAACCAAGGGCTTGCTCCATATCGCTGACACCAAAGAGGCAGTTGGGCATCGACTGGGGAAAATAAATAGGAAGAGGGGCTCCAAAGGGGGAAAAACTGGGCTAAGAGGGGGGGAAAGCGATTTGTGTGCGAGTGGGGATGCTGGTGGAGAGGCAGGGAGTGATGCTGAGGCTCCGGAGGGGTTCGAGAGCCCCAGTGCCTCCAGCCATGGAGGCTGGGTAGTAAATCTGAGCCACGGAGGCTGCATAGGGCATCATTCGGTGAGTCGAGGAGGGGCTGGATGGGGACAGCCACTGCACGCGGTGTCCTGGTGGGCTGCAAGGGAATTGTGGTGACCCTGGAAAGTCCTTCGGGAAGGAGAGCTGTGTGCCAGGTTTTAAAGCGTCTTTGCTTTCTGCCTGAAGCCCATGGAAGGAGCCTTGGGGAGAGGAACCGGGAGAGATGTTGTCTTGTTCCTGGATTCCTTCTGACAGTGAAAGCTGAGGGAATTGGAGACTTGACAGCAAAAAACCCCACGGGCTGTCCAGGTTTGTGGGAATACACAGCGGAGCCCTCCTTGAAAAGACTGCCTGTCAGCAAAATGGATTTGATGTTCCGAGATGCTTTCCCATGTGCCAAACCTTATCCAGACGGGAGAGCGAGGACCCTGGAAAGGGCTGCTGGGGAGCCAGGGTGCGGCCGTGCGAGGCCGTGCTGCGCCGCTGAGCCCTGCGGGGTGCGGAGCATCGCCGGGACAGGGGATGTGCTGGCACCCAGAACTTGCTGGGAGGAGGAAGCAAACACCTTCCTCCTGGTCCCGTTAGACTGGCTGGCAGCTCACCGCAAGCAGGGCTGTGATTTAGGAGCGGGTCCTATCACCAAAGCACATAACATGGAGAGGGGCAACAGGGAGTTGTGGAAAAAACGCTTATGCAAGAAGCTAGGGAAAAAAGTAGGGAAAAGCCTGAAATAGGGCAGCTGGGGTGAAGACCTTGGATAAAATAAGGGAAGGGTGGCCCTGATACCTGGTCCCGGCAGGGCCAGTGGGGAGCTGCTGTTTGCTCCTGTGAAGGTGCTTCCTAACCTCTTGCAGACGCGGCTGCTGCCGTGCCGAGCTGTATTTGCAAGAGCTGTTCTGATTCTGGACGAGCTGTTTCTCAAGCCAAACATCCAGCCGCCTTTTTTTGGACTCTTGCCCTCATCTGCCATATGTGCCCCTGCCTCACCAGACCCTTTCTTGTTGCGTGGCTCAAGGGAAAATGCAGATTCCCACTGATGGGTTGAGTTGCATAACGGAGCACGGTGGTTTTGTGAGGGTCTGTAGCGTTGATTTTGCTTGTTGGAGAAGGACAGGGATTCGGAGCATAACCAGTGCTCCCAGACTGGTTTATAAGAGCAGAAGGTGCTTCAGAAGGTGCAGAGATAAAATCCGCCCACCCCCAGCTGTGAGATGCGCTAAACATGACCGTGTGGTTGGATGTGGGGATTTAGCTGGGCCTCGTCTCCTTCTGAGATGGGAAATCTGCCACCGTCCTTCAGCAAAAATGGTCCTGTTGCTCCCAGGCTGGTGGCTGTCCTGTTCTGGGAGACCGACCTGACCTGTGGAGTGGGTCCCTTGATGGCTTGGAGACACGAACCTGAAACCATATACAGCTGGGTGCTTCCAGGACCCACCTTAGGGAGAATATCTTGATCGCATAGACAGCCTTGCCCTGTCTTTTGGGGTTTCAACCTGATACCGTCTTGGGGACAGTGGCACTTGGGTGTGCTGGCTTCCAGGGTACTGCCTCTCCATGCCCAGAGGAGAGGGGATAGCTTTCCCCGGAGTGTTTCTCATGTCTGATGGTGCTGGGTTGTCTTTTAGGGCATGGACGCTCAGAAGATGACTGCGGGGATGAGAGGAGCCGCCACCGGGACAGCCACCTCCTGGCAGGGCGCTTGGAGCGGGATCAGGAGAAGCTGCTCAGGTGAGGGTAGGAGAGGGATGGGGTCTGTTGCCACAGTGCCACAAACATGGGGACATCCTGTCCGGAGGGGGGACAGGGTTACATCCATGCTGATGTAGCTGCTGGCACCAGCCTTGCTGGTGTGGAGAGGAGGACCGAGTGGGGTACCTTGGGGTTTTAGGCAGATCCTGAATCCACAGCAGAGCAATCCCAATAGACTGCTGCAAATCCATGCCTGCTCCAAAGGAGGGGAGAGGTGGGATTTTTTTTATTCCAGACGTGATGTTAACCACCTCCATCAGAGCTCTCCTTGAGTGTCTGAACCTGGTTTGCAAACACAGTCGCTCGGCAGGCTGGTCCATACCCCTGGGCTCCTCCGGCCACGCAGTAACCTGCAGCACTCAGACCCTCTGTCTCTCTCTCTTGCCTCCCCCATCACCAGAGAGAGCAAGGAGCTGGCAGATTTTGCCCGAATACACCCCTCCGGCTGCGCCACGAACGGTTTGAACTCCAACCTCATGGTGACGGGAGGCCCAGCCTTGACGGGCTCCGGGCGCTGGTCTGCAGACCCGGCTTCGCACTTGGCAGCCCACCCCTGGCTCCCCAGGACGGGGAGCCCCTCCATGTGGCTGGCCGGCCATCCCTATGGTGAGTGCCCTGGGAGGGAGCGATGTGTCCACGGGGTGTTCACACCGATGCAGTCCAGGGAGGGGAAAGGGAAGGAGGTATTTTGGAGGAGTCAAACGATAGATGACTTCTTGTGTGGGTAGGAGCTGCCTGCATCCCTTGAGTTGTGACTGTGGTGGTTTTTCTTCTAGGACTTGGTCACCCTTCCCTGCACCAGGGCATGACTCCAGGCTTCCCCCCTGCCATGGGGGGAGCTCTCCCTTCCGCCTACCAGTTTGCCAGAGACCCGCAGTCGGGGCAGCTTGTTGTGATCCCCAGCGAGCACTTGCCACACTTCGGTAAGGATGTGAGCGCGTCCCTGAGGACCACGCTTTGGCAGCTATGGAGGAAACAGGCTTTGGAGGGGGCTGGATAGGACCAGCAGCCACAGCTCTAGGGTGGGCGTGAGCTGACCTCTTGGTATGTTTGCTTTGGAGGTGGAAATGTGTAGTCTTCAGCAGTGGCTCCTCACCCCCTGCAGTATCCCATAGAGTTTGGGTCTTTGGTTAGGAGAAACTACTTGTGGGCTTAGCCAGGGACAGTCAAGCTAAGGGTGCCTAGAGAGAAAAGCACATCAGATGGCCCCAGAACCCGTGGGGTGGTGTGAGCGGGGCTACTGAGGGGAAGACAGCTCCATTTCCCCTCTGCATTTCTGGTTGCATTTCTGCGTAGCCTGATGTTTGGCATCCCCCACACCCTGGGGACTGGGGTAGACGCTTGCCCTGAGCAATCCTGAATCCTCCAGCCATCCCCACCCTCCTGCTTCTCTGATTGCATCTCTGCTCATTCCCCAGCGGAGCTGATGGACCGGGCGCCCCCACTGTGGCCCGCCATGTACCCGCCGACCAGGAGCTCCCTCCAGCACGCTCACCAGCTCCAGCTCCTCTCCCAGCAGCAGCTGCTGCGGCAGCACGAGCTGTACATCCTGCAGCAGCAGGCGGCCCATGCCATGGAGCTACAGAGGAGCGCCCAGCTCGTGGTACGTTTTCAGGAGCTTGGGCATGAAACGAGCCTGAAGTTGGGGTGTCTGGGAGGGAACAAGCAGCTGTGCCAATGTTGCAGGTGTATCTCAAGGGTACGGATGCATTGAGCGATCCTGCCCTGGTCCCTGGGATAATGAGGCATTCAGTGCATCCTGCGCAGTTGGGGTGGGTTTTGGAGGGGTTTGGTGTAGAGCTGTAGAACAGTGCTGTCAGGAGAGC